AGTAACGTTTGAAGATATACACGTCTCATGGATTCTCAACTAAGCCTGTATTAAAGTGATAGTTTTGTATGCAAAGTTTATCCTTTTTCACAATGTTTGACAAAGCAAAATCATAAGTTTTTAGAATGTATAAAACGACTTAACAATGAAAGGTACTTTGAAATCATTATATACTTTGTATAAGTCTAATGCACACAAAGTATGACAAGAGTTTTCCATAATAGTAATGAGTTCCAAGTGATTTATTCGGTAAAACAAGTGAAGTGAAACTTTATAAAATACACGATAATACCCGTATGTTTCCTTGTATTCCCCCCCTAAAAGAGTATAAAAGCATTTAAAATGTATTTAAAGTGTGTTTGAAAGGGGTATGAACTCACTTGAAAGTTTGAAGATAGCAAGATGGAAAACCGGGCAGAGTTTCGTCTCGGGAAATGGATTTTCCTCGGGATTCTCGGGATTCCTCGGGAGTAAAATCGACCTTCGGGACTTGCACAAAATGACCAGGGCTTCGGGGTAGTGCGAGCACGGAAAACGAGGTAAAACGCAAGAAAAAGGAGAGAGAATGAGCCATTTTCCCGGGAACCCTCGCATCCCTTTTATAGGGGGCTGAGAAGCATGCGTACGCGGGGCGTACTCCTGTACGCGGCGCGTACGGGATGTCACTGCTGACCGCATCCTCGGCTGCAGCGCTTCGGACGGGACGGGGAGGGGGTAGCTCGCATAGGGGCGACGTGGACGATCCGAGGCTGTGGCCTCGAGTACGCGGGGCGTACGAGGGTATGCGGCGCGTACTACGGCCCTAGGCTGACTCCCCTTCGGATAATACCGAATTTTTAATAAAATTTATATATAAATTATTTATCACACTTCAAAAATTCATATCTCCTTCATACGAACTCCGTTTTTGACGTTCTTTATATCCCCGAGAAGGTGAGACTATGGTCTACAACTTTCGTTTAGATTCCGTTGGCAAATTCCGAAATTATTTTTATTATTTATTTATTAAAATGACGTGATTAAGGAATTTCTTTAAAAATTCATAACTTATTCATGCGATGTCTGATTTGAGCGTTCTTTTTATGCATGTTTGTAGTTTAACAATATCTATGACTTTCATTTAGACACCTAAGGTCAGAAAGTGTTTTATTGAAACTTTGCGTTTTTACGCAACTTCGTATTGTCGGTTTTTGTCGGAAAACTTAGAATGGTCATAACTTCTTCGTTATAACTCGGATTTGTGTGTTATTTATATGTTTGGAAACCTTAAGATGATACCTACCACATAGTGTACTCCAAATAGAGTTTTTGAATACTTCATCTTTCGATGATATTCTAATTCCTTTCTCAAAGTGGTTACAGGACTCGATTTTTACTGACTTGAAATGACGGGCTGTTACAAGAGAGGGTTCACGGCCCAAATAAATCAAGTATAAGTTCTTATGGCCCATTAGGGCTAATTAGGTTAGTTATGGCCCAATAAGGTCCATTAAGGTATTTTATTTAATTCTAGGCCCAATATGGCTCAAAATATTAAAATAATGGAAGTGGGTCCAATTAGAGTCCATTTAAGAGTTCTAAGCCCAAGATAGTCAAATTGGAAGCTTATTGGCCCATTGGGCCCAATAAGGGAATTCTAGTCCAAAATGGATTTAAACCGGGATTTCTAGGGTTTCCAATTCTTTGTTGACTATTTGCAGTGCTTGTATAAAGTGTTTGATGGAAGTTTTGTTGTTATTGAATAAGCATCGTACATGCTTTCCCATTTTTGGTTCACATTTGTTATCATTGTTGTTGTTACAAAGCATCAAAATTCCTAGTTGTGATAGAGTACTTCAGGCATTCAAAGATGGGCAACATGATTGCATCGTATTTGAACAGAGCCAAACCGGGAATCTAATTTTGATTCTGTTTGATAGTGAGGAGAGACGACTGAGCAGACTATTCTTGAACTGAGGAAGAGTCGGCCATTGTTGCAGATTGGAGAAGAAGATGAACAGTTTAAAGAGAAATCGCCGTTTAGGGTTCGTAAAATATTTGAGAGTGGTAAAGGTTGAATCTTTGATGGAAAGCTCTATTTATAGTGAAAGTGAGAAACCAAGCAACGATTGCATTACAATCCCTGATTAGATTCCTAGAAAAATAGGATATGCCAACTGTAGCAGCTGACAGGGTGTCAGGTGACATCAGGCGACGTGAGAATTGGAACCATTTTGAATTCCACGTGCCTTTTATTTCGAAAATCTTATCCTTAATTTTTGTGAATAGAAAATTATGGATTCCATCAAGTCTTGGCGGTTCGGAAAGTCGTTTTTCGTGATAATGTCAAATTTTCTCGACTTTTTCAGATTTTATACCTCATCGTCTATACCATTTTGTCGCGGGGGAGCATAGTAATTTTTTATCCATTCCAGATCATTTTCATGACCTTTTGAAGGCTTTATAATCACTTTTTTTTATTATAAATCGGGGAGAACTTGGTATGGCCATTCGAAATTGTATTTGTGACTTTTCACATTTGAAGATTTCTAATAAAGCTTGTGGTAGAATTATGAAGGTAGCTTTTACAGTAGCAGTTCCTCATCGAGCTCTTCTAAAGCTTTTACAGAGAAGTATCCTTTACAGTAGTAGTTCTTCATTGAGCTCTTCTAAGGACTTGTTATATCTCCGACTTCTAGTATTTTCTCGATCAAGTGATGTTACAAATCTTAAAATTTGGGTTGTTACATGATAATTTTTGGTGGCTTATATCATTAGCTTATTTGAAGATCATTGTGACTTGGAGGGGGAGTTCTTCAAAAAAAAAAAAAAAAAAAAAAGAAGTGATTCGGTTTCTTAATTTTGAAATGGGTTTTTATGGCGGGTTTGGCTTTCTTGAATATCTTTGGGATTGCATCAGAAAATGAAGTTTAAAAATATTACTTCAGTGCTTGGTGTGTATATATATATATATATATATATATATATATATGTATGTATATATATATATATATATATATATATATATATATATATATATATATATATATCCTAGAACCCATTTTTGAAGACTATTGAAGAATCAAGACTCGTGGATTGCTTCAAATATTCCTCGTTGCAAGATCATTTCTTATTTGCTAGATGAAGTTGAAGCATTGTCATCCATTCCATACTTTGAGGGGGAGATTGTAGGGTTTCAAACTACTCCATGGATTTTGGCAATGGCCCCCTTTGATGAAGTGTAGGTTAAAAGCCCAAGACTTGTCTTTTCCCTATAAATAGTCATGCATTATTCATAATTAGGATCAAGAGTGAGACAAAATGTAGCTGCCACATTATGAGGTTTCTTATGTAGAGTTAGATTTTTTAGTCTATTCTGAAAGTGTAATCTATTCCGCATGTTTTGAATAAATCAAGTGATCATTCGACATATCTTCATATTTGTGTTTGTTCTTATTTTCCACATCTTGTTCATCAAATCTCAATTAGGGTTTTAATCCCAACATGTTAAAAAGTTGGGATTTTGTGTATTAAGCACTTAATAGGCATGTAAAGTCATAAAGTTGGATACTTTATGACTCTTAGTGGTATTCTGGCATTGGATCTGAAATTTGGACATGAAATCTTAATACATTAAGCTCTTATTGAGGAAAGAAGGAGTTTATGCATACATCGTGTGTTACCCAAAGTATATCACGCGTACAGGGTCAAACACCTGACTTTGATCAAAGCCTAAGAACACCCAACGTAGGAGCTGAGTACACCCCGCGTACTCAGCTGAGTGGACCGAGTTGACCCGTTAACCTTGAACTTTGACCACAAGTCTTGACCAAATTGACCTAGGCGTATTTTAGGTATTTTGAGTTGATTAATTAAGATTAGGTCCTTGGTTTTGGTTAGGTGATCATTGAGCCGGTTTTCGGGATGGAGATTTATTCAACTTGCATTCAGACTAAGAGGTGAGTTTTCCTCACTGTACCAGTGGGTTGAAGGTACAAATGCTATCCTAGTCAGGGTAGTGATATGATAGTTTGTAGTTGTTTAGCAGATCTATATGATTATCTGTATTTTTTGGCTCTCTGTTATGTTTATTTGTTGCATATATTGACATGTTGTGGTGGGTTGAGGCAGTCCTACTTTGTGTTGTATGGCAAGACACCCGGGGACGACCGAATAAGCTATAAGCCCTACGAGGCATTCAATTTAGGCCAACGGCCCGTGGAGTTTTCTGGATAGGCTGTAGGCCCTCCGAGGCGGTCCAATCATGTCGAAGGCGCATAGAGTAATCCAGATAGGTTGTAGGTCATGCAAGGCGGTCCAATCAGGCTGGATGCTCATATTGTATGCTTGTTTGTTATGTGGTGTGCTAGTAGTTTGTGGAAACTCACTAAGATTTAGCTTACAGTTTTACTTTATCGTTTTGGGTACTTCTAAGGATCGTGGGAAGGCATAGGCATAATCATACAAAAATTCTTGTTTTTATGTCTCCGTGTTTTGGGAAAACTCTGACTTGAAATAATGCTTTTGAAACAATAATTATTTTGTAAACAATATTGATTCATGGTTGGTTTTGAAAATTTTAAATTTATTATGATTTTTAGAGTGTTAGAAGTTGGTATCAGAGCCTTGGTTTGAGAGAATTGGATGAGCATTCGCGTGAATCCAAACTCAAACTAGGGAATTGCAAAAGTTTTTTTTAACTGATTTTCAAAAGTAAACAAGGAAGGATATATATGATCAGTCAGATCAAGATTGTCTACCTCAAGTTACACACATTGTTATCTGATATTATGTTTATGTTAGAACAACATGCTAATGATAAGCTATGGATCTTTGGGAACTGCATGATAGAATTTCCTGATAATTGATGCATGATAGTCTAGGGTTTCCTTTGTAACAATCGATTCCAAGTATGAAATTATTTCCAATTGTGATGGTTTCTTTTTTGCCATGATGTGGTGAAGCCTCACCACAACTTGACGATAAGCTTTTTGGTCGCGGGTGTTAAATGAACCACCACAATGTGGTGGTTTTGGCCACATTATGGTGTTTCGGGTAGCAGTGCTCTTCCGAAACAAGGGGAGACAGAGAAAACAAAGAAGAACCCTAGGCAAAGCAAACGACTAAAGAACATGAACAAAAACCGAAGACTGACGATCAAAAGGGTAATGAAGCTTCTGCATCAAACAAAGGAAAAGACAAAATTACTGAATATGGTGAGGAAGAAGAGCTTTCTAAATTTGAGAAGCTTGTGCGAAAGAAGAGATCCAAATAACTTGATGATATTTTGAAGCTACGAAAGGAGTTAGAAGCACAAGAAACGGAGGCTGAGATTGTGAAGATTACTCTTGAAACTCATAATTCACTCATTCCTCCATGGTCGATTAATAGAACTCAAAAAGAAGCCATTGATGATCCGAGTGTCTATTGGCTTGAGCCTACGGTATCTTTTGAGTTAAATACCGAAGCATATTCTCAATTTGATTTTCCTATTACTCCCATGGATTTTTTTTTGTTTCATTGTTTTGAAGTGATAGAAAAGGCTTTGATTTTTAACAAAGTGATGAATCTGAAACTCTTCAATTTCTACTTGAAGTATGCCAAGCCTCAGTATCGGACTTGGAGCTTAAAGAGGATTATGGGATTAAAGGTTTGTTTGCCTGCACCGACTGAAGATTTTGTGAATATAAAGTTCAAGGATTTCGAGGGATCAATAAAGTTTTAGATGACTTTACTTTAGCATATTTGTCATTTATGAATCTGTATGATTGGATCTTAATGCTCAACATTGTCATGAAAGATGAAAAGAGATTCGAGCCCATTGTTGCCCATCTGAAAAGAATGGTCATCTATTATATTTTAGATATTGCGAAGATGGATGTCGAGATAGCATTTCTTTTGCAGAAAGGCCCATTTTTAAACCTGAAGAGCAGCCTAAGGATGTTCGGAAGTTAAAGCTGGGAGTTATTCATAAATAACATTGGAACTTTGTGTATAACCAACAGGTTGGTGATACATTTCATAGGAGTATCTTCTTTTTACGAGACAAACATCTCTACTCAACCACCGCACTAAAGACTATTCTCACAATGGTTGAAACATGCAAGGAGAACTCATTTTCTGATCAGAAATGCATCTCAGATATGATCAGATGGTATCTATGTGTCTGAAACACTCTTCTGAATTTGATGCCTAAACTTTTCAACATGCAGAAAAGAAAAATGATGACTCCCCTTCTAAATCTGATACAAAGGGGGAGATTGTTGGGTTTAGTTGTACTTGTTGGAAGTGTGTCCAAGATCATTAACTAGTTGGTGATATTTCAAATAATAGCAGGGTCCTCTTGGGTTGCCCTCAAGACTCAAAATTGAGTAGAATATATAATAGGAGTAATTAGTTTATTAATTATTATGGTTTAATAATTAATTAGAAACTAATTGGAAAACAATTTGGGAATTAATTAACAGTTTAATTAATAGAAGGGTTGAATGTGAATTAATCAATAGTTGGTTGATCAGGAAACATTCCAGAACCCTAGAAGGAAGGGGGTTGGACGAAAATTCCCTTTGGATAAAGGGAATTTCGCTCATATCATATCGCATCCTACATTGGTGGAAGGATAAAACCCTAGGAGGTATCCAAGGTTATAAATAGGGCCTTAGGGATTCATTCCTCCTTGGTCATTTTTGGCTTGAGTATTCGCCACCTTCTTTCTCCCTCATTGTGGAAGAACTTTTCGTGAGTTCATCCCTCCTAGTTTATATTTGTTTCTACTGTTCATTGGGTGTAAACCAAGAGAGGGATTCTAGTTTGGATCCTCATCATCCAAACAAGGTGGCACGCTAAAGGAGTCAAGCTCGAAGATCATTGGCAGCTAAAGAGGTTAGTATTCTTCTTATATTTTCGGTTTTCCTAGGGTAGAAGTAATAGTATGAAGCCATAGATCCATAGGGTGCATGTACACTTAGGTAAATCGTTTTGTTGTTTCGATTATTCCGCTGCCTAGTTATAGAGTGTATTTGATGCATATGTTTCCCAACAGTGGTATCAGAGACTGGTTCATGGTTACTATCACCCTACCTCCATGTTTTATGAATATATTGCTTTGGAACTGAATGATGAAAGTTTAATTGAAAATTTCGTAATTTGATAGAAACCCTAAGTTCACGACGTGAAAAGAGTAGTTCACGATGTGAACATTGGCAGATAAGAACTATCGGTTATGATCTTGCTTATTTTTCAAATTAAGACTTTATCTTGCATGGATAATTAACTAATTGGATTAGATCTGAAAAATTCGAAATATATGAAACCTTAATCACAGCTCACGACATGAGAGCTATGAGCTCACGACGTGAGCTAAGCAGATTCGGGATTTTTTGTTTTAAATTTGAAGTTTTGTTGAATATGGATAAATGTCAAATTTCAAATTGTGTAAATCTGAAAATAGATAAATGTTATTTAAATGGTGATTTTAAATATTTTTAATGTTGTTTATAATATAGTTTTATGAATTTGAATATTAATCCCTCATGTTTTATTAATTGCTATATTGCATCCTTGTAATTAATTCGAATTAATAATAGACAACTAGATTTAAAGAGTTTTAAATTTGGACCTTATATACGTAAGATACATATATTGTATGTATAATAAAATTACAATATGCGTCCTCGCGTATTTTAAATATTGACATTGTCAGTCTTACCTCGACTAGGCTCACCCATTCAAATGTAGGGGTTTAAGGAGGTCTCTATGATTCCTAATGAGGTCGGTTTTTAATATGCTTCGCGCTTACCACCCTCACCGCCCTATTGCATTTTGTGAATGGAGTTACCGAAAGGGTTTGATAGTGATAATGGTCAATCTAGAAGTATTATAAATACAAGTATAAAAAAAATCCCTTTTTATTTAAATAAAGTGAATCTTATGTTGTCCGTAAAAAATTGCACATTCTCTTTATAACTTGTTGATGGAGCTCGTATGGTTAACCGGCATGTCAATTAGAGAGTATAAGTTGAGAATGATGTAAAACTCGCGAATCTCAAGCGTAACTTGAGTCGGGGACCATGCAATTTTGTATGGGTGATTCACCATCTATTCAATGATCCGCGGCATCCCCGTCATTGAATTTGAGATGAACATAATCCGAGATGAACATGCCATTGACAGTTAATGAATCTCAAAGATCTAGGAGTTTCATGGTGATTGAAATTGACAAAGAGCTTTGTCTACCTAAATAACTTTGTGGTGCGTTTACGACATCCCTTTACGCATCATGAAGCCAAACATGGATCCTAGCCTTAATCCAATAATTCATTTAGGGTAATTATTAATTAAGGAATTATATCAAACTAATTGGAGTCTTATCTTTTGTAGATGTTGAACCAAGCAAACAACAACAACAACGATTTGCCCCTTCCTCCTCCTACTCCTCCTACTCCTCCAACTCAAAACTCAAGCTTCTCTCTCATGCTGGTTCTTAATAGGGAGAAATTCAAGGAAGATGGATCCAACTATCTTGATTGGATCAGAACCTTGAGGATCACGTTAAGATATGAGAACAAGGAGTATGTTATCGATGAAGATGTCCCCGTGCTTGGAGAAAACCCTACCCCAGAAGAAGTTATAACCTACAACAAGAATTACGATGAATCAACCAAAGTGGCTTGCCTTATGTTAGCAACCATGGGTTCTGGTCTCTAAAAGAACTTTGAGACATGGGGTGCTTTTGATATCAGCCAGCAGCTCGAGAAAATGTTTCAAGAGCAAGCAAGGCAAGAACGATTCGATATCGTTAAATCCCTCATGGCATGTAAGCTATAAGAGGGAGCTTTTGTGAGTGCGCACGTCAAAAAGATGAAGTCGTACATAGACAGACTTAGGAATCTAGGTGTTGAGCTGCCTAAGGAGTTGTCCATTGATATGGTCTTGAACTCGCTTACTAGTTCATATTCTCAGTTCATCATGAACTTCAATATGAATGGACTCGACAAGACCTTGATGGAGTTACATGGCATGCTTAAAACTGCTGAAGCAAGCATGAAGAAGCCTAACAACTCTAACCCTACTGCTCCCGTGCTGGCTGTTGACCGTGGTTCTGCCAAAAGGAAAAGGGCACCTCAACCCAAGGAGAATGGTAAGGGTAAGGTCGGAAAGTCTGGTCCTCCTCCCAAGAAAAGGTCCCAAGGAGAAATAGCTCCTTCTTCAGATCCAAGTGAGGCCATTTGTTTTTACTGCCAGCAAAAGGGACACTGGAAGCGTAGTTGCCCTCAATACCTCGAGGACCTTAAGAAGGGCAAAGTCAAGGTGGCTAGCACCGCAGGTACGTTCATGATAGAACTCCATAGCACATTTACTTCTAACTCTTGGATTCTTGATACAAGATGTGGTACTCACATTTTCTCTGATATGCATGGACTAAGACAAAGTAGGAAGTTGAAGCATGGAGAGCTCAACCTAATCATGGGAAACAGGCACAAGTCAGTTGTTACAAGGATTGGGAACTATGAGCTAATGCTTAATGGTGGTGTTTATCTTAGTTTATTAAATTGTTGCTACTCGCCTGATATGGCATGAAACATTATTTCTTTTTATGCACTTTATAAGGATGGTTGTCGATTTTCTTTTGATAATGATAATGGTGACATTTTGGTTTATAAGAATGGTTGTTTTATTTTCAAAGCTAGTCCTTGTAAAGGTGTGTATGAAAGTATTGTTTGCGATGGTGATGTTGATAAACTAATTATGAATGTTGGTTCATCTAATAGTGAATTAGATAAATCGTGTTTGTGGCATTGTCGACTTGGCCATATAAACAAGAAACACATTGCCAAACTCCAATCTGATGGAATCCTGGAATCATTTGACCTTAAGTCGGATGATGTATGCGAATCTTGCTTACTTGGCAAGATGACAAAGGCACCGTTCACAGGCCACTGTGAAAGAGGTAAGGATTTGTTGGACCTCATCCACACAGATGTTTGTGGACCCTTCAAATCCGCCACAAGACATGGAGAAAGATACTTCGTGACTTTTACCGACGATTTTAGTAGATATGGATATATCTATCTAATCAAGCATAAGTCGGAAACCTTTGAGGTGTTCAAGGAGTTTCAAAACGAAGTAGAAAACCAATTGGGCAGAAAGATCAAGATGCTCCGATCCGATAGGGGTGGAGAGTATTTAAGTCTTGAATTCTACGATCATCTTAAGAATTGTGGTATAGTTTCACAATTGTCTCCTCCTAGAACACCGCAGTTGAATGGTGTAGCTGAGAGGAAAAATCGAACATTGTTAGACATGGTTCGATATATGATGAGTCGAGCTACACTTTTGATATCTTTTTGAGGGTATGCCTTAGAGACAGCCGCCCATATCCTAAACCTCGTACCTACTAAGAAGGTTGCTAAAACACCCTCTGAATGTGGAGTGGGACATGTCCTTCTCTAGCACATGTAAAAGTTTAGGGATGCGAAGCTTTTGTTCGTCGTGAGGCAAATAACAAGCTTGAACCCCGATCAGAGAAGTGTTACTTCATTGGCTATCTGCAAAAAATCGTTTGGATACTTGTTCTACAAGCCTTTGGAAAACAAGGTGTTTGTTGCTCAAAGGGGATTCTTCCTTGAGGGGGATCTCATTTCCAAAGAGGACAGCGGGAGCCGCATAGATCTTGAAGATCTTCAAGAATTGAATGAAGAAGAACCTTTAGTAGACACTAGCACT